ACAAAAGAAAAGAAAAGAAAGCGCTCTAAAGGTTATAACTGCATATATGTTTAAGTGTATAAGATAGATAACCATATTACTGTTTTTTGGATCATTGAACAAAACTGTTTGCACTCTCACTGTTTGAAAGTCCATTTTATATGCTTCAATTTTGTAACTTGAACAACTATTTCTAAGATGAGAATATGTAATCTATTAACTAGTGTTTTCTTACTGTTTATTTTTTAAATTTTGTATTACTTGTACCCTTTTTCTGTTTTTTTTTCTTTTTCTCCTTAAATAAAAAAAAAGAAACAAGATCTTTTAACCAGAATCTTTGAAATCTAGCATATAAATGAGTGAGCGAGGCAGTACCATGGAAAGGATGAGAAATACTGGGTTGGAAAAATGAATTCAGAAATGAGGCCAGTTGCACATGAGGAGTACATGAGCAATTTGAAGTATAATTAAACAGGAACAGATACAGATGTGTGTTAGTAGAAATTCGACACATGGGAAGTGACAGTGAGTCCTCCTGCTCGATGGCGCTGTCCAAACTCTTATTAAAATATTGGTTCTGCTGCATCATGTGGATTTTATTCATGATGTAGAAAATGGAGGGAGAATCTAGAGAAAAACAGTAGAAGTTTTAAAGGGAAAGAAGTTGAGCTTCCTTGAAAAACATTATGGGAATATGGATTGTGATTTACTTTTGTAGAAAAATCAAAATATTTTACGTGTATTTTTTAAAATTGAAAATTGCTTCTTGCAAGCAATATGGAACTTAAAGCTAGAACAAGCTAAATATTGTTCATTAATTAGAAATATTATTTTCATAGTGAAACTATATACAAAATATGTTTTGTTTTCTCCATTAAGAAGGTTTTGAATACTCTCTTATGTAATTATACATTAGTTGAAAATATAAATTTTAAAATGACTACTCATATTAATCTATTAAATACAACCACCTTTATCTAAATTTTACATGTTTAGGATATTTTCAATCACCCACCACTGATATTTTAATTAACTGAACACCATTGCAAAACCATGGTTCTTAATATTTGATTGTTTTCTTGTTCTAGATTCCAGTTTGAGTCAGTGCATTGAATCAAAGATCAGAAATATTTTTAATCTTCAGAATACAAATTAAATTTTCATATTGAGCCATTGCCATTAAAATAAACTATTCCTGGGAACCTGGATCACATTTCATAAGATGCTTGCATTTATTACCAGGTTCTATAGCACACATTTATTTTAATCATTTAAGTTTTCTTTCTTCTTTGTCTTTTTGAGACAGAGTCTTATTATGCAGCCCAGGCTGGTCCCAAACTTGAAAGGATCCTCCAGCCTCAGTCTCCTGAGTGCTGGGATTGCCAGGAGTGTGCTACTGTGTCTGGCCACTTAAGTTTTTTATTAGTACATGTATGTTGTGTATAGTGTTTACATTCCTTGTAGAGAGAAGTTACATATATGTAACACACCATAATTCCTTTTTTACTATCTTTTTCTTCCTTCTCCCTTAAACATACATTTACCAACTGCACACAAGAAATGTAAATATTGTGTACTGCAAAAATGTACAAAAAGAAAGGGGATACAGCATTTATTATTAATTAAAATTATTTTTCATAGTTATTATTTAATTTAAGATGATCCAAATATTAAACTAATGATTCAAAAGTAACTTATATGAAAGAAAACGCATACTTTTCACCTTTAATTTCTTCTACCTAGTGACCATTACCTTCCAGAACTTTAAGAGATTTTTCATATTTAATAACTTTTCCATAATAACTTTATCTTTCATTTTTTGTTTTCTTGGTTTTATACATAATTTGACTCCCTGTAATATGAAATGAGGACTTATTTCTTATATGTATATTTCACCCAAGACCCATGATGTTATTCATTCTCATCTTTTCTATAGGATTATATCATGAAAGATCATGGAAGATTTATACTCATAGGATTATTTAAACACAATTCATTCTAAATCCATGTTGTATTAAAATTGCATTTATTTTCTAGGAATCAATAACTGCCTAAATATATAGTATGAAGCCCTTTCCAAACTTCTTGCCAGAACTATTACATTTCTCCCTGTGAGATTGCACAAATCAGAACACTGATTATTTCTACTTTACCCCTGGAAAGATTCCTCTAGGAGCTGTCTGGTCTGTTCCTTGTACAGTCTGAACTCTTACCTTCTAGGCTATCTGCGTGGCTCACATCCCTTCTCTCCGATCTTTTTGACATCATCTGTTCTAGCTTCTGAACGGATTTGTTGGTTTCTGCAGGTGCCTATCTTACTACAGTTTTCCAAACTAGAAAGTCTTGAGGTAAAGTTTCTGAAATCCCCAATGATTGAAATACTTCTGGCTTATCCTGGCAGCTTATAGAATGTTCTCTTCTTTGTTAGACATCATTTTTTTCACTGTATTGAAAAAACTTGTTTCCATTTTTTCTTTATTGGTTGTTAGAAAATATTTAAACATTGCTAAACTTCATTCTTCCAGGTTCTTACTTCATCTCCCCAACTAGTAAAAACTTTTAGGATTCTTTTCACATAGCTACTGGCTTGTGAATAATTTTTAAGGTAAAATTTTATCACAAAGTGGATCATCAAAGGTAGAGTCCCACAGTTTTCCTCCTAGAACATCACATTTATGAATATTTTGTACATTCCTTTAAGTATTGCAAATCTGATCCTGAATTTATTTTTTAAAAAATTGTTTCCAACACCTTTAAAAATAGCATTCAAAAAAGGAAATATGTAGGATTCAATCTAATAAAGTATGTAAAATATCTATATATTGAAAACTGTAGTATACTCCCAAAACTGTCATACACATTTAACACAGTCCTGATCAAAATTCCATTAGAGAGAAAACATTCCATTCTAGAGAAAACATTCTTAAAATTCATTTGGAAATGGAAGAGACCTAGAATAGCAAAAGTAATCCTGGGCAGCAAAGGTAAGGCAGGAAGCATCACAATCCCTGACTTGAAATTATACTTCTAAGCTACTGTGATAAAATCTGCATGGCACTGGCAAAAAAACAACCCAGACTTTAAGATCAGTGGAACTGATTACAAGATGAAAACACAACTACAGAGGCATTCAGTCACCTTATATTTGACAAAAGGGGCCAAACATGTTCACTGGAAGCAAGACAGCCTCTTTAATAAATGGTGCTTGAAAAATTGACTTTCCACGAACCAAAGACTAAAACTAGATCCATGTCTATCATCATGCACTGAACTAAAGTCATAATGGATTCAAGATCTAAATATTAAAACAGAAATACAAAAATCTACTGGAAGACAAGGTAGGTAGAAATCTTGAAGACAAGGGGTAGGCAAAGAGTTCGTGATCAAAACACACACTGCACAGGGAATACTTCAAAGAATTAACAACTGGGATCTCATATTGTTAAAAAGATTTTGTGCATGAAAAGAAATCACCAACAGAGTGAAAAGGAACCCACAGAATGGGAAAAAATTTATCCCACTGTACCTTAGTCAAAGGAATTATATCCAGAACATACAAAGAATTAAAAACATCAAGCCCCTCTAAATTCAAAGTCCCAATCCAAACATGGGCATCTGAGATAAACACACATTTCTTAGATGAAGAAATACTAGTGACAGGTAAATACATGAAGAAATGTTCATTTTCACTGGTGATTTGAGAAATGCAAATTAAAACAACACTGAGTTATCATCTCAGTCCAGAAAGAATGGCTTGCATCAAGAAATCAACCAATAACGAAAGTTGGTAGTGCTGTGAGGAAAAAGGAGCCCTTCTCCACTGTTGGTGTGAGTGTAGACTGGTACAGCCACTGTGGAAATCAGTGTGAAGATTCCTCAAAAACTAGGATTGCGGTTTCCATTCAATCCAGTTATTATCCTTCTGAATATTTTCCCAGAAGAATTGAAAACATCATTCCACAATGATACGTGTGCACCCATGTTTACAGCAGCACAATTTGTAATAGCTAAATCTTGTAAACAACCCAAACACCCACCAACTGTGGAATGAATAAAAAGATGTGGTATTTCTGTACAATGGGGTAGTGCTCAGCTATAAAGAAGGATAACCCTGAGGCTTTTGTAGATAGATGGATGCAACTTGAGACCATACTTGTAAGTGAAATAACTCAGACTTGAATGTGTAAATATTGTATTGTCTCCCTAGTGAAAAAAACCTGAAAGAGTAAATAAGATAAAAAGTATACAATAGATATTGTTAAATGAGAGGCAAAGTGCTCAAAAGAAAAGAACAACAGGGACAGGGGAAAAGAGAAGAGAAAGGGGAAAGATTGTATGTATGCACATATACATGTATATATATAAATTTATATACAAGGCAGATAACTATAATGCTAATCTCTGTTAGTTAATCAAAAAGAACAGCTTGTGTTTTCACTGTGTGATTGTTTGATCATTTTTTCATGCCTAAATCTTGTCATATGAATAATTACTTTTAAGACGAGAAAATGTGATATATTGTTTTGTTAATTTCTTATTTTTTTTAAAAATTCCATATGTCTCATCATTTTTGTGTTTTTAAATAAAAAACGTTTCTCTCAGAAGCTGCACTATATCAGCTCAACAGAAGGAAAAAAATTGAAACTCATAGTGTTTCAAACAGGGTGAGAGGAGAAAGTTACAAAACAGTGGTGACTTTTGCCCTAAATTGATTTGTTGGCTGAGTTCACCATTGTTGTGTCATTCAGTCAGATGGTGAGGCCACCCGCAGGGAGGCATGGCATGCAGGTTAAACAACTATCGGTGTTTTTCACTTAAGGTCTGTGAAAAGCAGAATTGGACAAATGAGTGAAGAAAAACGGGCTGGGACTGAGGCAGATTTTTCTGACCTTTACCAGCACACTGTTTCTTATAATCCTACAAAAATTATATGTGGGCTCATACTTCCGTGAGAGGTGGTCTAAAATAATAGATCAATGTTTATATAGTGTTATAATTTGGATTTGAAATGTCTTCCACAGGTCCAGGTGTTAAAGGGTAGGTTCGAAGTGGGAGGCCTTCCTGGCAAATGGCGGAGATCTTAACAGGTAGGATTGATGGGCAGTTTTCAGTCATTGGTCCTGCACCCTTGCAGGGTACTGTGAGCCCTCATCTCTTTCTCTGTTGCATCCTGGCCATAGGTGATGTTGCCCCGTGATACCACCATGAGCTGCTGCCTCACAATGGGCTCAAGAGGCACATGCCCAAGCAATCATGAACTACAGTGTCTAAGACCTGAAGCCCAAATAAAACCTTTTCTCTTTATAAGCTCATTATTATCTTAGATATTTGTTGTAGTACCAACACAAAGATAAATATAATTTCTAGTATATTTTAAACACTTTCATTTTTAAAATTAAATTATTACCTTTTCTATTTTCCAATAAAATTGAAGGACAAATAGTCATCTCTTGTGCAATATTGTTCAATGAAAACATTCCTAACCAATATCTCAATATCGAAGAACATTCTTGCTTTCCTTCTTCCTTGAATGTAGTGACCGGCTGTAGCTCTAGATGTTCCTGCAGGGAAGGAAGGTGAGAGGTTGAGAAAATAAAGAGACAAAGCTGGGGTCAGGTGGAGCACTTACTTTCCTGATGGGGAGAAGGAACTGCTCAGCCACTCATAGCACGTTTTTTAATACTCTATATACTCCTGAAGAAGAATGTCAGTTTCACCCCGCTGCCCAGCAACTTGTTTGCCTGGCTGGCCTGGGCTCCTTGCCTTCTTGGAGCTGGAACAGCTTGTTTATGTGGCTTCATTTCGGGATGTCTGTGTTTTCAGGGCTGCTCTTGCTTTAGCCCCACATGTGTGATTGATCTCCAGCTTCAACATCTCCTTACACCTGAACTTGCCATTTCTTTACTCACAGAATATTTTATAAATAAAATACACGTATTTAAAAATACTGCATGACATTAACCATTCTATGTTGCATCTCCTTAAAATACATATGCCAGGAGAACATGATGACTTCAAAATTTAGTTTCATTTGTTAATGAATTTTATTTTCCAACACTATAGGACTACATCTTAAAATTTTCCTCCTGGATTAGGTTATCAATTTAGTAGAATTTGGCTGCAATAACAAATTACCACAGCCTGGTGCCTTAAATAATGCTTATTTCTCACAATTCTGCAGGCAGACTGTCCAAGGTCAAGGTACTAGCAAGATAGGTTTAAATCTGAGGTTTCTTTTCTTGACTTGTAGACAGTTACCCTTCTTGTCTTCTCATGAAGGAATAAGAAGAAAAAGGGGAAAGAGAGAGAAAGAGAGAGAATGAAATTGTTCCTTTCTACAAGGACATAATTCTAGTGAACCAGAGTGAATCAAGACCTTACTCTTATGATCTCACTTAAATTTAATTGCTTCATTGTAGACTTTATTTCCAAACACAGTCATACTGAGGTTAGGAGTGAGAGCTTTAACATATAAATTTTAGAGGACACAATTCAATGCTTAGTAGTTATTATAATTGTTACTCTATTTCATTGGTCGTTAGATACAGACATTTTCACATTGCACAGGTTTTGAAATTGCACGCATTTGATTGGTGACATTCTGATTTCTTAATGTTAAATAAAATAACAGACTGCTACACATTTGATTGAAACTTAGGTTAAACACTAGTGCAATATTAATCAAAATATTGAAAGAATATTATAAAAGGTAATTACTAAGAATAAAAATAATTTATAAATATTTCCTTATAGTTGAATAAACTCATTCTTTAAATTTGTTGTTTTACAGATTTCTAAATAACTTACTCTTTTTTAGAATGAAATAAATTTGAGCATCTTTTATTTATATTTGGTTGCTTAGATAAAAAACACTCAAGGCCTTGTTTATTCAGTTAAGTAGACAAGAATAGAGGAAGTTTTGTTATAGTAATTCTGCTTGATTACGTGACCTCCTTCTGAGCTGTCAGCCAAAAAATGAATAATTACCTAATAACAAAATTATGTTAAATGGCCCCTCAATTGATAACTTGATTAAATTATCATTCAATTTTGTTGAAAGCAAAGCTTTAAAAAAATAAACCATTACTTAATTATTCAGTCTTTCACTATCTCTAGTTCTTGGAATTCTGCCTGAAATTGCTTAAGTGTTTGTTTGTGTTACCAAAAATTTCACATGTTCAAATTTTAACCCCCAATGTGATGATATTAGGAGGAGAAACTTCTGGAAATTAATTAGATCATGAGAATGGAGCAATCTGGGAATGGGATTAGTTCCCTTATAAAAAGAGTTCAGTTCTGTCAGTCTCTTACCTTTAAATGAGTACTTCTCATTAAGATAGCAGTGCGCAACCCAGAGGGAGATCCTTACAAGCATGCAATAATGCTTGCTTCCTGACCTGGGACTTCCAGCCTGTAAAATATGAGAAAAATATCTTTGCTCTTCATAAACTACCCAGTCTATGGAATTTTGTCATAGTTTCTACTGACTATGACAAATCAAAAAAGACTGCCAAGGAATGTTAAATGATCATTAACTGGCTCTGATGGCTTTCAACTTAGACTCAATTCAAGAAGACAAAATTAGATTGAACATGCAATCTCTCGCTTCCCATGAAATTTGAAATTATGCACATAAGATCTTTTAATGAACACATTTACAAATACATGTTTGTAAAGAATTTTAATTCTTTATGGCAGTGGCCCCAAAGTTTTTGACACTAGGGACTGGTTTAGTGACTGTTTTTCTGTGGTGGGGCTGGAGCTGGTGTTCCTTGATAATTCAAAGAAGTATGCAGACTCCATCCCTCCCAGGTGCAGTTCACAGTAGGGTTTTCTAAAGCTGCCACTGATGGGACGGGATACATAGGTCAAGCAGTAACGTGAGTCAGCAGTGTGACTGCGGCTATAGATGACACTTCTCTGACTTGCTTGACATTCACCTCCTGTCACATGGTCCTGTTCTTAACCAGACACACACTCGTAACCAATCCAAGCACAGTGGCTGGTGAACCCTCCTCTAAGCTACCCTGATACCTCATTAAAAATACATCTCAGAGAGATAGAAAGAGAGATGTGATGGGAAGAATCATAGGCTGGTCATTTTATTCAATGATGGATCATCGTTGGGTTTAAGTTTAGAACTTAACAGAAATGAGTGGGCACACCTGTTTCTGAGGAGGCAGAGCTCATCCTGGTTGGAGGATGCAGCATTGTTACAGCTTGTGTCTAGATGTCGCACTAAACCCCATGTGGTCAAGGAGAGGGCGTTTCACAGGTGATTGAACCTAGAGTGTGTGATTCTGGGGTTAAGAATGTGATGCAGAGTTGGTTCTGAGTGATGCTGGGATTAAGGGCGCCCACCCTTGGCACGCGTGCCACCTACTCTGAGGGCACATGGCCTGGATAGAGTATCAGGGACAGAAACAGGGCTGCTGTTGCTCCCTGCTTCCTTGCTACTCCCGCCTTCCTAAATCTTGCCACCATGAAGTTTTTCTCTTACGTGATGTGTGGTGCCACTCTGCCACGCCATCCTGCCTCGGAATCACTCAGCTATGAACTGAAACTGCTACAAACTGAGCAAAATAAATGTTTCCTCTGTTCACTTTGGGTATCAGAAAAAAAGTAACAAAAGGCAAGCATATTCTGGATCATACTTTGGAAACAGGCTTGCCTGTATCTTATATAAGCAGATACTTCGTTTTAAAGTAAACTTAAGAGCAAAAGGAAGAGAATGTATTGGTTAGGTATATAATACATCAATTTAGCGTTACCCTAATGTTCACACTGACCTTATTGTGCTGCTTCTGGACTATTATTCCTGTTCTTGTGAGACTTTCTGTGGTGTGACAATGTCAGTTTTATCAATAAGACATGTTGAGATTTGTAGTTATTGCCTGAACATTAACTTTATTATAGAGGCAAATAGCTCAGAAATAAATTGAATTACTTATATTTTATATATTGAAATACTGTTAATTGAAGTATTCCTGATTATATGAGAAATATGCCATAATTATAATTGATGATTGAAAAAGGTTCTGATATTTGGATCAAAACTATTAAGAACCACTGAGCACTTCAATAAATAAATACATTTAGAATTAATACAAATACACTGAAAGTGTGTGCTATGTAGATCCTTGTATCTCAATTTTAGTAGTGGATTCAAATCATTTGAAGATGCCATAATTGTGTCAAGCTCAGTGGTTTGGGGTCTGATATTTTTCTTTTCTAATAAGGCCTCAGAAAATTTCCCAGTGTATATATAACTCTAAGTAATCCTGTTGCCCTTTAATCTAGAACCTGAGACTCAGATTTTCTTTTAGAAAATATTTAAATTTTAACTTAGAAAATTTTCCACCTGAATTACACTCTTTTGTCAAATGATTCATGGTATTATTAAATTGGTGATTCTCATATTGTGTACATTAAGCATTTAGACCTGCAAAAATAATGAAACATTTTAAAATGTTGCATCATTGATGATACCTACTATGATTCTATTCTGCCGAGAAATCTGTGCAACTCATGTAACAAATAACATTGTGAATTTGTTGAAAAATACATTTGTAGAAAGGAAACTGTAAAAATAAGTGATCATCATTGCCAATGACAATGAAAAAAAAGGTGAAAGCTGTGAATGGCTTGGTAATTATGTGCATTATGATTTTTTGTTCTCACCCTTCATTTCTTTGGTACAGGATATAATTACAGCACACAATAGAATAACAGAATTATTGTCTATAATCAGAGAAGAAGTGAGTGAATTAAATCATTATCCTTTAGCTAAGCACAAACTACATGACATAAAGAAACTTTTGGAACTTCTCTGTTATTCTTACATAACGTGTTTCCAACTAGATGGAATAGCATTTACCACATATTAAACGGTGTTTAAAAACACTATTTATTGTACCTGACAGATGAAACCAGTAGATCAGTAATCTGATTATTTGTAGATATGTTTTATTAAATACTAAAGAAACCAAATTTGAGGATCATTTCTTTTATCATTTTTGCTTCCTGTCATTCTAATCTAGAGGAAATGCTGCACTTGGTGAAATCTGAGTTACAAATAATTCATAATTTGCCTTGAAAGTCGGTAAAGTGGCTCCATTACTATATAATGTTTAAAGAGATGTTTTGTCAAGTGGTGGAATTGAGTACAGGCAAATCCATTGACCACGTCTCTTATTTTCTTCATTCTAATGCTTTAACTTTTGAGTTCTTATCGATGCTAAATGTCAGCAATGGTTACCCAATCCCTAGAGACAGTAAAGAGGTCATTCAGCAGCATGACTTTCAAATGTAAACCTTCCAACCCAGAGCTCACACCTGCGAGCTATTTAATTGGGCTCTGTCACTATGGGCCACTGTCTGCCTGCTCACATGATTCCAGAGACAGGCACCAGACAACCAGGGACTCCAAGC